GAGCTGGGACTCGCTGATGAGGAGCCCTCACGACACCCTGCTTCAGTGCCACCTGACTCTTCGTACTGCTCTGGGTGCCCCTGCTCTGTCTGCCTTCTTTCCTGGCCACTTGGCCTTCTTTCAACTCTCAACTCTTAAATGCAACGTTCTCCAATATGCTCCAATATGCCCTTTAGATTTTTTTCCTCCTTCATCTACTCTAAACCGTTTTCTATATTTTTCTTTGCCAACATCTCCCACATTTGTAGCCCCACCCCACCCTTTTTCTTGACTTCTGGACTGAACGTCAGACATGTACTAAACCAGACTCCTCATCCTTCTCACTCACCATCCTTTCCACCTGTTTTCCTATTACGGAGACGCTGAAGGCCCGGCCTGGCCTCCCTACTGCTTCCCTACTGACCTTCTACTGGCAGCGGACCTTCTGATTTTACCCTCTTGACTCACAGCTGTGCCCCTGGTGCTCCTGTTGATTAGAGCTCTAAGTCCCCAGCTCTTCTGTTTTTTTTTTTTTTTTTAAGCTGAGCCATCCTGCCACCTGTTGGCAGCTCAGCGGCTGCTCAGCTCGGGCCAGGACTCAAACCACTGTTAGCTCAGAGATCAAACTCTTAAGCGAGCTCTTAACCATCTGAGCCATTCGGCTGGCCCTAGTCCCCAGTTCTTCTGAAGTGGACCCCAGGGAATGGGGGCGCCAACTCCATTTCCAGTCCCAACCTCAGACCTTTATTTCAGACCTACATTCTTCAAGTGCCGGGAGTCTCAGCTGAACGGTGATGCTAGGGAGGGCCCTTCTCTAGCTCAGCCCTACATTTCTTGCAGCAAACTCTGAGTGGCAATTCTGACCCAGACTTCTGAATCCCTCGGCGATTCCCTGTAGTTCAAAGTCCCTCCTTGCTCTCAAAGCAGAACACTAAACTGTCTTTGTAATCTCGTAGTTGTAAAGGCCCTTGCGATGATGACTTTTGACCCCTAATGTTTTGTCAGAAGGGAAACTGAGGTCCGGAGAGAATCAGGGACTCTGCCATCATCCCAGTGACTCATCTATGTGTCCTCCACCAGGCCTCTTGGCCTCTGAGAGCGGTTTCCAGGTTCTGATGTACCCATGGTGCAAAGATATTGTGTAAGAGAAGGCAAAGCAGGGATTCTGAAAGATGGCCATGAGTTTGGTGCCTGCGGACTGAGTGTGGCCACTTGTCACTGCTGGTTTAGGTCAACCACCACTGTGCCCCGCCAAGCAAAAATCTTGGATGGCAATAAATAGAGTCCATTTAGCTCTAATAGGCCGAATCCAAGGAGAGGGTGAGGCATGGGACGAAGAGTGGATCCAAGGAGCTCTTGGCACGTCTGGGGCTGGTAATGCACTCTTTTCCCCTTTGCGAAGGCCTGATTTAGTTACGCCTGAGCAGCTGGGGAGCATTGCCTCAGATGCCTCCTGCAGCCCTGATACCCTGACAGTCCTGGTGTCAGCCTGCCTGCTGTCTAATTGGCCATGCGGAGCCTGGCCAGATGGCTGCTGGGTCCTGGCTGCATGGGAGGTGAGAACTCCACGTCCCGGGCCTGGCTGGCCAGCCCTGGCTTCGTGGGTGCCAGCTTTTGATTGGGAGGTCCCAGGAGCTTGGATCTGTAATCTGAGGTTTTGAGGCCTGGGTTGAAGGAAAGGAAAGACCCTCTGATTACTGGTGAGTTTTGAAATTCAGTTCTTCACAATGGTCAGCCCTTCTGTCATTGGGGCAAGGGCAGGGTTGAAGGGGGATGGCTTGCTCCCGGGACCAGAGAGAGCAGCCTGTTGGGCTGTGTGGTGGCTGGGTCCTGGGTCTGCTGGCCGAGTGGCAGGGACTGCAGGCAGGAGAGGGGCTGCTGGGAGCAGAAGGAACATCTTCCTTGAATCTGCAGGGGCGTACCTGGGACTCTGAGTGAGGGGCCTATGTGGAGCCTAACTTATGTGGGTGTCTTGCCTCTTTTGCTTGAGTGGAACTTATACCCTCTGGTTGGAATAGTTTTTTCCTCTCCAGCTTCCTCTCCACCAATCTCCCCCTTGCTTACTCTATCCCAGTCATGGCAGCCCCTGTTGCTCCTCACAGATGCCACACATGTTCTGCCTCAGGGCTTTTGCACTGGCTGTTCCCTTTGCCTGGAACACTGTTCCCTCTCTATTCACTTGGCTAATTCCTCATTTTTGTCAAGTGTTTGCTCATATCTTACCTTTTCAATGAGGCCACCATGTTTAGTTCTGCCATCTGGCAATTTTTTCTTTGTTTCCATAGCACTTACTACCTCATAACATATGACATAAGTTATAGGCAATATTTATTAGACTAATTTATTAAGTTAGTTAGAATGTAAGCTCCCTCTGTTAGACTGTAAGCTCCTTGAGGACAAGGATCTTTGTTCTGTTTAGTACTGGAAGAGTACCTGGTACATAGTAGGTACTCAAAATAAATAAATAAATAAAAAAGAATCTGTAACTCTTTTTTGGTAGCCAACCACACCTCATCAAGGTGTTGGGGAATCCATTGGGTGTTCTCTGGAAACAGGCTTTCCAATATATAAGGACCCACTGTTTTTCAACTTCGCTCTCAAAGGCTGAAGACATACCAGCAGGGGAGTGATGTTAGAGAGGCTTTGAAGGCTGCACTAAAGGGAGGCTGTGCTGGAACAGACATGTGTGGCGTAAGGCTGTGCCATCAGTGGGTTGAGTCAGCAGCTCAAATGATGACGCCTAACATGTTCGGTGTCCAGATCTTTTGTGAGCTGAGCCACAGGTGGCTTGTTAACAATGACAGCCAATGAACTGAAGTGTATACTAGTTTTCTTGGCTAGAAGGAAAGGGATGGAGTTACAGACGCAAGGTGGGTGGTGATATGGCCATAGCAAGCCCCAGCCATACTGCAGCCTGGAGCCCACTGGAGTGTCCATGCCAATGAATGATATATGTTTAGGGACTGAAAGAAGATTGAAAAATATCATGCTATTCCCTGGGTCATGCCTCATAGGTCGGTTGCTCCAGGTTCAGAGTGAGAATCAGAGAGTCATGGAGACTGGTTGGCATCAGAGGACTAGTCCCCACATTGCTTGCGGGTAGACAGTAGCCACTTATGATTCAGTCTTTTCTGCTGCGTCTCACACCTTTGACCTTCCTTTCCCCCAACCCTGTTATGCTTAAAGTCTTCCTTTCTCAGACCCCTGTTATCCGAGGCCCTGGGTTCTACATAGACCTAGAATGGGTGCAAGGGACCAAGCTGGGAGTGTGGGTGGGTGCTCAGTAATGCTTATGGCTCTCAAACGTGATCCCAGTTACCTTGGATGAGGAGGCACTGCTGCATGAGGTTGATCTAATCTTTACAATCAGAAGGGGCTTTGCAGTGATTAAAGAGCCGTTTCCTGCTGACATGCTGATACCAGCACCCTCTGAGTCATATAAGGGAGGAGCTGACAGGTGGGGCCCTGGAAAAGTGGCTGGCCCTGGCCAGGGCTATGTCTGAGGTGGTCTGCACCGAACACGCAGCTATCTTGTGAGACCATCCTGGCACGTCCGTCTGCAGCGGGTGCACACTTGAGGAATTGTTCATTGTCCACAGTCAATGTTGCAGGGGGCAGGCTTGAGTCTGGGTAGAGACAGTTGCCATGTATGAGCTGTGGTTACTTTCCAATTGTTTCCAGAGCTTGGATGGACTGGAGGACTAAGGAAGGAGAGAACAGCCCTTCCTCGCCACATGGGAATGTCCCAGGACAAGAGGGTAGAGCTATGCAATTGAGGGACTCTTTCTATAGAAAGGGAGAGAGAGTCCACAGGAGGCCAAGCCTTCCATGAAAGCAGAGCTGGATGAGAAAAATGGGAGTGAATTAGGATACTTGCTGACGCAAGTGATAAAGAAATCCAACCCAAATTAGCTGAAGCAAAATATGGGATTTATTATTGGTTTGTAGTCCTGGGGTAGAGGTCTGGCTTGCATGGCACTATCGGGTGGCTCTTTTCACTCCAGTCCTTGGCGTTGCTCCCCCTGCTGCTGGCTTTGTTCTGCACACTGCTCTCTCCTCAGGCTGGAGAAGGTGACTACTGACGGGCGTAGACGCACATGCTCCCTTCTGGGCACCGCTACTGGATCAAAACAGACTCCCGTGTTCCAGCTTATGGGGAAAGATAAGACGTAAGACTGGTGCTATGTGGTCCTTTGCCATCACTACCCAGTCCCCTTTGGCAGTGGGCTAGGCCAGGTGAGCGTAGGGCTTCTTGCCATGTGCAGCACAGAGCCCACCTGGCAGCCACAGGAATACTCCATTTCCTCCCTTATTCCCCTCTCCCCCCGCTGCTTCCTAGGGACTCATCTGTCTTCCATTTAACACTCCCAGGGCCAAGGGTTTCTTGCTTTGGGTTAGAATGAGAAGGTGAAAATTTATAAGAATATAATGCAATTTTTTGCATTTCAGATTAATGGTACCTGTAAGGAAACCGCTGAGACATTGCTCCAATTCAGTTACTGCTGGCTGCCCCCCATTTCCCCTTTTTGAACAGGGATGTGGATAGTAGTTATCTCGTGCCTGTTCCACCATTGTTCATTGGGTGTGTAGGGGCAGATGACATGTCACTTTAGTTTACAAGCCTTTAGATGGGGACACTGTGGAAGATGAACCACCCCGATGGGGCCTCAGTGAAGACAGCCTGGTTTAGAAGAAAAGACCTCGGATGTCAAGCTGATGAGGACCTTGGGGGACAGCATGAGGGAATTCGCATGGTAGAGGAATGCGAATTGTTGTGGCTGAGTTGTTGCAGCTTTGGCAGACTGTATTGTCAACAGATACCCATGACAATACATCCTGTTCCACTTGTTCTGTTTGCAATGGGATCTGATAATCCACCATGAACGGTAGAATCTTTGTCCCCTTCCTCCAACCTGGGTGGGCTTCAGCCAGTAGAGCGTGGGGAAGTGGTGCTATGAACCTCCGAGGATAGTTTATAACGGTTGATAAAGCTGGCTTTTGACTGGCTCTCCCTCCTTTAGGGGAAAAGCAGGCCATGTGATGTGGGGGAACCTGGGCCATGTGCAGAGGCCACATGTAGGTGTTTTGGCCAATAGACCAGCATCAATCGCCAGACATCTGGGTGAGGAAGGCTTTGATCTCCAGCTGCAGACACCATCTGACTACAACTGCGTGAGAAATCCTCAAAGAGAACTGCCTCCCTGAGCCCGCCAAACCCCCAAACTGAAAGACATGATGGCGATGATGATGATGACGATGATGTTAATGATAAAAATAAAATACGTGGTGGTTGTTTTGTGTCACAAAGTTTGGAGTGCTTTTTCTTACATAGCAGTAAATGAGAATGGTTGATATGGAGATCCCAGGCAAATCTTAACTATCTACAACTTTGAGATGAGCTCAGGCTGTGGCTACTTAAACCCTAAAATACATTTTAGGATCTCCAGTTTGGGTTGGGTGGAGGCTTCCCTGGGAGTGGGGTAAATTAGGGAAGTCAAGTAGACATTAAACAGGTGGTTGCATTTTGAGGTGGAAGAACAGAGGTATTGGGACAAATTGGCTGACGGTGTTGTTAACGACATTGCCAATATTCCTCAGAAACTTCCCTTGGGGGGGTGCACAGGTAGGACTAGCATCACCAGTTCTCAGTTTCTAGTGTCTCTTGGTTAAGTTGAGGTCTTGCTCTGAAGGAGTCCAACCGCATGAACCTTGATGGGGGCTCCATCGGTCCTCATGACTGTAGTCATTTTTGCTGGTAATCTGTCAAGTCCTCCCAACTTCTCAAAGCCCCTCCTTAATTGCCCTGTCTTCACCGGTCACTCTCACTGCAGTTAGCATCTGTCCCACGTGACTTAGCTCTGTGTTGCAGCATTTCCCTTCGCTACCCTCAGGACAAATGCCTTAGTGGGCAGGCAAAGCTGCTCACCATCTGCCTCACTTTTCCTGGCAGCCTTACTCACCCGCAGCCTTCCAGAAAAACTGGTGGATCTATGAATACACTGCACGTTCTCTTGGGCCCTTGCTGATACTATTCCTTCCATCAGAAATGCTGTCTCTTCTGCTCTCTGTTTTTCTTCCTTCCCTCCCTGTCCCCCCCTACCTCCCACTGGGAAACACACACTTGCCCCTCTCCCACATCTACCCCTCTTTTAGACCAGGAGTTGGCAAACTGCGGCTCTTGAGCCACATGCGGCTCTTTGGGTGAGTTCCGTCTCAAAAGTTTGTCGGCCCCTGGAAGAGCCAATCCTGTCCCTCACAACAATTTAAAAATTATTTGAGAGCCATAAATATATCTTTACATAATCACCATTATGTGAATAATATCTTTTAAAATTTTTATAAATGAAATTATGATAGTTTTATTTTCATTTTCAATTTTACTTCAGAGCCTGTGGCTCGCGAGCCGCAGTTTGCTGACCCCTGATGGCTCTTCTGTCTCAAAAGTTTGCCGACCCCTGGTCTAGGCAATCCTTTAAGAAACCTCTTTATCCAGGAAGCCTTCCATAGTGCTTCCAGGACTGGGCCAGGTCTCCACTTTTCACCGATTATTTCACCCTCCTATAGTTGTCTGGTTGCTGGTTCCTACTATAAAGCGATGTCCCTGAAAACAGGCACTGTGTCCGACTCTTTTCAGCACCTGTTTTTGTCTGTCTTGTACTCCTTACCAGAGTAGGACCTCCATTAGGAAGGGGCCAGCTTTCTCTTTATGCCTCATGGGGATGAGCACACATCAAGACTCCATAAATTCTGTCGACTGGCTGGTAACTTTTGCAGAGAGCGTTCAGAGACCGAATCATCTAGGAGTTTGTCAGTGTAGCATCACAAACAAGAGTGTGGGTTCTGGAGTCAGCAAAAGACCTGGTTTGAGCCATGGCTCCCGGTGGGGGAAGGAGGTTGGGGGAAGGAGGTGAGCTGCTTGGACCTCCTGCCGAGAAAGAGCTTGTTGAAGAGCTACGAGGAGGGTGGTTAGTGGACTGCCTCCAGCTGCAGCACCTTTGGGATCCTTCAGTGCTTGAGCCAAGGCTGCTGTCAACCTGGGCTTCTCCCAGCTCTGCGCCATGGCCTGACTCACTCCTATCCAACAAATGCAACATACTAATGGAAGATGCTAATAATAATGGGGAAACTGGGTGCAGAGTTTATGGGAACTCTGTGCTATCTTCACGATTCATTCTACAAATCAAAGACTGTTCTTAAAAATAAAGTAAAAAAAACACACAAAAACCCCAGCTAAACACCATAACAGGTCAAGAAAGACTGCAGAAGAAAATAAAAAGCTGTGTATTTTAGATTTTTAACAGCACATTTTCCCTGCTTTTTGAACAGGAGCCCGCATTTTCGTTTTGCACTGAGCCCTGGAATTTAGATAGCCAGTCTTGGTGCCAGGCGTCCAAGGCTGTCGCTGGTCCTGGAAACATAGTGGGGTTTTCCTTGGTAGTAATAACATTCTCTCCAGGGCCTTCATCAGCCAGGACCACCCCAGCATAGCTGGATTGTTCTGGTGGAGGGGGGTTCTCTCTGTGAGGGCACATTCTGAGGGCATTGCTCACTAGCTAAGAATATCCTAGGGCCTCTGAAAGTCCTGACACCAAAGCCCAACCCAGGGGCACCTCCTGGGGGCGGGGCGTGATGCTGGGCACCAAGGATCCTAGCTCCTAGGATCCAGCAGGACAGGAGCTAGGCTTTGCTCCCTAGTTATCTGTGGCCTCAGCAGAAAGGCAAGAAGACATCTTCATAGGCAGAGATGCCCAATGACTGACGGTGTGGGCCAGGACAAGAGGCACAGGTCAGCAGTTCTCAAAGGAGTCACATATTCCCCGGGGATAGTGGTAGGAAAGCTTCCAGGAGGAGGGGAAGGAGAGGTTGCTGCTGAGCCCTGATGGACGGGCAGAACTCAACAGGTGAGATCAGGCGCAGACAGTGGTTCGTTCACGGGGATATACAGGGGCTCTGAGGAGTGGGAGGAGCAGGGAAAAGGCTGTAGAAATAGGTTTGGGAGAGATGAAGAGTCTTGGAAGTCCAGTTAAGCAATCGGGACTAGACGACACCAATTGGGACATGACTTTTGAGCGGGCTTGTGACATGGTCATACGTCAGGCTTGGAGAATCTATTCCAACTGCGGGGTGGAGGGTTGCACTGGAGGAAGGGGCAATGGAAGATCTCAGGCCGGCGGGGAGAGAGGGTGAGACCTGGACCAGGGTGCTTTATCCCTGCACAGTAACGGTTGAGAGTGGTGTTAGGAGCAGCCTGTCCTGGCAGGAAGGATGTTTATCACTGACACTGTCGAGAACAGGTGATAAGCAAAAGACCTACTGAGTTGGTTTTATTGTTGTTTTTAAACTGTGCACAGACAATGCATCTCCTAGAGAAGCAACTTAGTAAAGAAATTGACTTATCTGGCTGGCCTGCCCTGGTCCAGCCTACCCTGCTTTCTAGAGCCTTCTTCCTCCATGACTAGCCCTGGGAGAGTTGCCCTGGGAGAGTCATGGTGGACTTGCCTTCAGCCAGGCCAGGCCAACCTAATTCAGACTTCGCCATGGCGCCATTAGCAGGTGGGTCAGGAAATGGGACTTGTGACACCGAGGAAGTACAGCAGTTCCCAGAGCATTCTCAGAGGAGCCGCTGGTGAGCACAGGCCCCAGCCTGTGATGGGCCCTGGTACTTAAGCACTTCCAGAGCCCGTGGTTCCACACTGAGTACCTGTTCGCGCCTCTCCGGCTTCCTCCTCTCAGCATCTCCAGGCATCTGCACACCCCTGCTGCTCATCCAGCTACCTGAGCACACCACACCTATCAGGCTCTCCGTCCTGCCTGGCGTCCCCACCCCAAGTCTTGCCCTTCGATCAGGGTCCAGACGCAGACCCTTCTTCTGGGAAACCTCCCTTGGCCCACAGGCCACAGGGCTGCCTGAGTCCCCCAAGCGCTGTCTGTTTCTCACTTGTGTAGTTCAGGTTCTCGTAGAGTTTAGACTGAGAGCTCCCTGAGGGCAGACAGGGCAGGACAAGGTCATCCCATCTCCCTGTTTCCTATCTCCCGGGGCAGTGAGTGAAGGCCACTCACAGGCTTTCTTGACCAGGATTCATCTGTACTCCTGGGAGCTTCACGCAGGTGGAGGTTGGGGCCAGGCTGCCGAGGTATTGGACTGCTGGAGAGTTTTGGCTTTGGGGCTCCCCTCTCCCCACTGGCCTTACCTGGACTCACCTCCCTTGTCCTGCCCTACTTGCCTCTCTCTCATCAGGTGCCTGCTAGCTGCTGACCTATCCTGCCAGGCAGGAGCCCCCACAGCTACTCTGTTCCCTCTCCTTTCCATACGCCAGGCATCGTGAAGGTTCGTGGTGAGTTCGTTCCTACTCCTCTCTTGCATCAGGTTCTTCCTGACCTTTCCCAGAGGCCTGTGGAATAAGTGCCCTGAGGCGGGGCTTAATGAGGATAGGATTTTGGCTCTGGTGGAGAGGTCTTCGGTATCCCTTAAATTTTTCTTCTGTCTTCATCCATTTATTCAACAAATACTGTTTGAGTTTCTGCTCCATACCAACCACATACAGTGGTTAAAAAAGGTACTTCCTACCCTCAAGGTGCTGATGGTCTAGTAGGGCTGAAGGGAGCGTAAACAGGCCATTTTAAACCAGTGCCTCTGCATTACCTCAGGTGCTTTAGGACCACAGAGGGATAGTTTTAACCAATCTTGGCAAGTCAGAAAATGCTTCTCTGCAGAAATTACAGCTGAGGCCTGTGGTAAAATTCCTCTGCTGGGGGTGCCAGCCCAGACCTGGGTCTCTCTTCTCTGGAGCAAACACTAGAGAGGAACAGAGAGGATGAAGGGCCCTGCGTTTGGAGGAAACAGGAAAGCGAGGTGAATGAAAGGCTAAGTGCAGTCACCAGCACCAGATCCCAGGTCAGAATGGGACGTGTGGCCCATCTGACCCAGCTGACTGGGCAATGAGCCATCTGCTGCTGGCCAGGTGCCCATTCTTCCTTCCTTTGCTTCAGGACCAGGCTGGGCTTATGTGGGGGCCTGAGTGACCCCAGCTGGAACCACAGGGCTGCAGGGCCCTGAGCCATCAGCCTGGTCTTTGTCATCTGCTCCTTGGCAGGGTCAGCGGGGACAGAATAGGTGGTGATGCTGACCTGCCAGCGCAGCCTGTCTCAACTTTCCTCCCTGGATCTGAGCGAGTGAAAATAAACAGCAAAGTTTTAGTCCAGCCCCAAGGGGCCTTGGTCTTGACCTGCCAAGGCCATTCCTGGGCACTCTCTGCCGCTGTCTTTAGCCAGACT